TTGAAAAACTCAATAGGTGTCATAGGTGTATTCGTGATCAAGCTATACATTTCAAAATATTAACTTTATAACTTTTCATACATACCGTACCCAAAGGCACCATTTGACATGAAGGGGTATGCCGTACCCAAGGGCACCATTTGACATACGAACATTTCTTCAACATAGAGGGGTATGCCGTACCGAAGTACCATTTGACATACAACCATTAACATAGAGGGATATGCCGTACCTGAGTACCATTTGACATACAAACATTAACATGAATCGAAACCTATAACTTAACACGATTAAACACATTGCACCTCTACCTACCTTGATTGATACTTTTGAAACTTTGAAAACTTGGATTGAAAATTTCGATGAAACTTGAACGTTGAAAGAAATGCACTCCTTGGATGTTTGAAAAATGTTGAGAATTGATGCTTGAAAACACTTCTTAAACTTCTAGAAAAAATAGTTTTCCTCCCTCTCTTTTTCTTTCTTGGAAACTCTTTCTTTAGTATGTAAAAACTCTTACTTTTGGTGTAAGAAAAATGAGTGAATGAGGTCTCTATTTATAGGTAAATATCCCATAACTTAAAGCAAATGAAGGGTCAAATTTCATTTAAGAGAGAAAACATGGGTGCCATTTAAGTTTGAGGTTAAATGCTTCAATTTAGTGGGGTTTTTATTGCCAAAAACGTGGGTGGCCCTTTGAGAAAATAATTGATGAAAATAAATATTTAAATTCTAGAGAAAAATGAAAATTTTCATTTCAGGCAGTTTCGGTCGACCGGTTGTAGTCCGGTTGACACTGCACAACTTTCAGTGTTTCTATCATAACTTCTTCTCTCAATATCCGATTGAGGTAATTCAAAGTGCGTTGGAAAGCTAACTCAAAGATAGAATTTTGGAGAAATATGCTTCGTCTTGTCATCTTTGATATAGCCTCCTTTGAATTGTGCAATACAAGTTGTATTGTCTTCATACAAAATTGTAAGCTATCCTTTGTTGGAGTTAACCCGCATGATATTTGGATATGATGGGTCATGTCCTCAACCATATGCATTATTGGCTTGCTTCATGGATTGCAATAATTTCAGAATGATTTACGGATGTTGCTGTCAAGGATTGCTTCATGAATCTCTATGATATAACTGTTCCTCGATGTGTAAACACATATCTTGTTTGTGATTTATAGCTTTATGTAGGTCAAAGAGATAACATGCATTTGTATAACCCACTAAAGCGAATCCTAACTTTTAAGAATAACATAATCCCAAATCAATAGTACCCTTTAAGTAATGAAAAATATGTTTAACACCATTCCAATATTTTTGAGTTGGTGTAGAGCTATATCTTGCAAAGAAACTTACAGAACAAGTTATGTCAACTCGAGTGCAATTTACATGATAAGTTAATGCTCTAATTGTACTAAAGTATAGTACTTCAGGACCAAAAACATTTTCTTCATCTTCAAGTGGACAAAATGGATCATTTTTTCACATCAAATGATCGAACAACTATGGTGATGCCAGTCGATGTGTATTATCCATATAAAAGCGTTTCAAAACTTTTTTTTTATACATAGATTGATGAACAAATAGTCTTTTTCGAAAATGTTCAATTTGCAACCCAAGACAAAATATGATTTTTCCTAAATCTTTCATCTCAAATTCATTTTTCCAATAACCTCCAGCTTTGTTGAACTCTTTAGGTGTTCCAATTAAATTTAAATCATCAACCATAATCACAAATTCAATATTTATTTTTTTTATGAAATTACATGGGCAGACATCGTCATTTTTATAACATTCATTCAACAAATATTTGTTAAGGCGATTATACCACATGCGTTCCAAATTGTTTTAATCCATATAATGATATTTACAATTTAATTGAGAACATGATTTTCGGGCACATATCATTTGAGTTATGCTTCAGACATATTAAATTTTTCAAAGATAACATTAATAATCATGTTAGATCAGTTGACTATCACGTATTTCAAATTTCATGTATCGTCAAGATAACATGATATAGACTCGTGATTTCATCCATGACGCTCTTTGCGAAATTCACTATGTTGAGAGTTGAGCATTATACAATACGGCTTCATTTTTCTCATTAATTTTCGTATAAATATATATCTTTAGATTTTCGGACTATAGGTCCAAATTTTTTGTTTTTATCTCGTAAATTCAATTTAAAATTGCGTCTCCTTTTATTTGGCCAAATATTATTTCGATCGATATATTTCGACGCATTTATTTCGATTCCTCGTGATTCATATATGATACTGTATATCATGTACAAAATTATTATCAACAACTTTTTCTTTTCTCATTCGATTCTATTTCTTTTCCCATGATGACATAACTTATTTAAATATCTTAATTTTCAACATATCATGTACCTGAACCTCTTCTGAGATTTTATAATCTGTTATGTCTAAATACTCATTAAGAGTATATGTCCCTTAATGAAACCATCTATGTTAATTGCTCCATTTTCATTTGAAGATTTTTGTATTAAAATCGAACACCATCACGCTTCAGACGTGTCATAGATATATCAAATATAATGCTAACAAATTGTCCCCTGAGACATCAATTCGTATTGGAGCATTAAAAA